TAATTTTTTAAGAAAACTAGTTTTGATGTTGTTTGGTTGGCCAAAAAAATAAGGAAATGAATTATAAGAAACCTATTTCCTGTAGTTTGTTGTTTTCTTTTGTATGGTTCATTCTTAAAAATAAGAAATGAAATGAGATGAGATGAGTTATCATTCTATTATTGGGTGATGTGATCCAAGATTAAGAAAAGTGTTTTCACAACTTTTTGAGATGAAAACAGAGAAATAAAATGTTAATGAGATGAGGTGAATTGTTATAATATTTTATTGGATGATGTGAGTGATTTGAAATGATGAGAAGAGATGAGTTGAGTGATATTTGGATGAAAATAATATTTTATTAGATGTGATGGATGAGTTGTTAGATGAAAATAATATTTTATTAGATGTAATGGATGAGTTGTTAGATGAAAATAATATTTTATTAGATGTGATGGATGAGTGGTTAGATAAAAATAATATTTTATTAGATGATGTGGATGAGATGTTGGATGAAAATAATATTTTAGGGTCTGTTTGTTTGCTAAAAAAAATGAGAAAACACCCACCACATCACCTTTCAAGAAATCTCCTATGTGCCACATAGGATTTTGGTTTCAAGGGTTTTCCATTTCTTCAGTTTGTTTCATTTTGTAATTTAAAGAAATGACCAACTCATCACATCTCATATCCTTTCTTACTTTTAAAAATAAACCAAACACAAGAAATGAGTCACATCATCCAACTCATCTCCTCTCATATTTAAAAATCACTCACATCATCCAATAATATGGTGACAACTCATCTCATCTCATTAATATTTCATTTCCACCCATTTCCTCAAAAAAAAAAAAATTGATTTCCTTAAGTGTGGGTCACATCATCCAATAATATACAAACAACTTATCTTATCTCATCTATTTTCTTATTTTTAAGAATGAACCAAACACTAGAAAAAAATTATTATAGGAAATAGGTTTCTTATAATACATTTCCTTATTTTTTTAACCAACCAAACAACCTCAAAACAAGTTTTCTTAAAAAATCACTCACATCATCCAATAATATGATGACAACTCATCTTATCTCATATCTTATTCTTTGATTTCCTTCTTTTTTTAACCAACCAAACAACCATAATACAAGAAATCCTATTCTTTGATTTCCTATTCTTTGATTTCCTAGTTTTTTTGCGAAACAAATAGCCCCTTTAAGAAAATCGATACTCGCAAATGACAAACATGCAGTAAGCATATCTGACTCCTAATTAACATGAAAAGGAGAACCTTTTTTTAAATAACGTGCCTCAACATCGTGCGGTATTATCGCATAGATTTGGCCCCAGCAATGACAGCTTGATCGTGCGGATGGTGGCTGCGTTGATCATTATACTTGGGATCAATGTTCAGCCTGAAATGAGCCTCTGCTGACTCCACAAATTTGGTGCTTGCAGTTTGCTTGAGAAGGGATACGGCCGTGGGAATATCATACTCCTCCTTGCTCTCGCTCAGCTTCTGTACCTACAAGAACGTTTTCGACCGAGTCTGCACCTACCGAGGCCAACAACATCAGACATCAGATCGGCCCACTTAAATTACACACACAACCGGGGGTCAGCTTCTACCGAGGCCAACAACATCAGACATCAGATCGGCCCACTTAAATTACACACACAACCGGGGGTCAGCTTCTGTCTAATGCTTTGCTGGGGAATATATAGCCCACTTAAATTACACACACAACCGGGGGTCAGCTTCTGTCTAATGCTTTGCTGGGGAATATATATATTTTTTATCATGCCGGTAAAAATTTAAAGAAAATTGTACGGAAAAGACCCAATTTCAACCCAGAACCTAAAAACGGATTTAAACAAATGGGCACCAATCGTTTGAAAGTAGGATTACCCTGTCCCTTTTGAGGGGCAAAGCGGCCTTTCCCTTCTTGGGCTTCGTAGCAGGAGCAGCAGCAGCAGCAGCAGCGGTGGCATCTTCAGCGAGTTCATCCTCGGCCACGGCAGCAGGAGGAGGAAGGCTGAGTCTCTTGGAGGTTATTGGGATGAATGGTTTTATCGTGAGATGGAGGGAGGCTGGGGAGAAATTGTGGGTGCGGAGGCGGAATGTGTTAGTTTTTGGGTGCGAGCGAGAAGAGGAGAGGTGGCACAGTTCAGGAGCGGTGTTGCTGCTGGTCGGAGGGGTTGAGCGGGGTGGGAGGAGCGGCGGTGAGAAGAGGAGAGGCGGCTGGTCAGGTGTTAGAGGGTGAGCGAGGCGATGGTGGTGCTGGTCGTGGAAGAGGAGCGGTGGAGGAGCTGGTGGCGGATGGTGAAGGTGATGAGGAGGAAGGGGATAAAGGGGCTGAGGATATGGGGATTTTTGGGTGAAGGCAGGAGAGAGAGAACGAAGATCGGTGTTTATTTTGGGTTGGGGGAGCGGGGGATAGGGAAAATTTTGGTTTTTATTTTTTTTATATGAGCCAAAACATCCTAGACGGAAATTTCCGTCTAGGATACATCCTAAACGGAAATTTCTGTCTAGAATACCTGGTTATTTTTAAAAAAATAAAAAATAAAGAAACCGTCTAGAATACTATTCTAGACGGAATTTTCCGTCTATAATGTTTTATTCTAGACGGAAAATTTCCGTCTAGTTTAATACATTCTAGATGGAAAAAATCCCGTCTAGAATATTCCCTCTAAAATACGTGATTTTCTACTAGTGCACATAAAACCACATTCTATATACATATTATAAGTGTGAAGTCCTAGCATTTAAAAGGAAAAAAAAAGTTAAGACTTAAATGTCTTAGACCATTCGATTGTGATATTATTAGGGGCTGTTTGATTGTTGTTGGTAAAGTTGTGTATTTATGACACAACTTGGAAAGTTATTGTCCACCTCATCAATTTCACTTTTATACTTTTCTATGTTTGTTTTTTATTCCATTGGAATCATAAAACACTTGTTTGGTTTGCAAAATAAAATTTTAATTGTTTGTTTGGAAAGTGTAAAAAGTGGTTCCTACTCAAATGATCATATTGGTTGTAATTATTTTTTATTATTTTTTTCTAACTTCAATGTTAGCTTTCTCCTAAAATCATGTCTTTTTTTCATGAAATCACTTTACAAGCCACATCAGCATATGAAATCACTTTACACTATTTTCACAACTACAAACAAACAATTGAAAGTGATGAAAGCTGATATTGGGACCCACTTTTTTACACTTTACATCCTTTTACATGGTAAAAACATACAACCAAACAGCCCCTTATCGCATATAATTATTTGCCATCTTTGAGCATTCCGCTATCAATATTTAGCTTCTGAACTCAGATAGACTGAAGAAGGGCGACATGTGAAGTCATATCTAATACGTAATTTTTTGGATGGTCAGATTATATATATCTCGTCCTTGTTTTGTGAAAATCTTTCAATCATTTGGAGTTGTTACTCGATGTTAGTCAACTGAAACTTTTCAAGCAAAATTAGGATATTTATTAAAGTAAGACAATGAAGACTATTTTTTTGATGCGGGATAAACTTGGTAAAACGATGTGGGATAAATTGATAGAGTCAAAATGCTATAATTTATGCATTTTGACGATATAATACCTTAATTTATCTATTTTCTTATTTGCAAAAAAGAAAAACAAACAATAGGTCAAGTTTTAGTTTGGAAAATGATTTAAGGACCCAAAATATGGGACCAATGGAGGGGACAGGTGATGTGTCCCCTCCCTATTGCATAATGAGTTGGCATTGCCAACTCATTATGCAATAGGGAGGGGACACCTCACCTGTCCCCTCCCTTGGTCCCATATTTTGGGTCCCCGTAGCAGCACTCTTTTAGTTTATAGTTCCACTTAACTAACCCCTTACACCTCGTTTGGTATGCGAGCATGAGTGGGAATTGAATGTAATCCCAACTTCTCATTCCTGCATACCAAACATGATGTATTATTGGATGCTAGAAATGTCATTTCCACTTCTAATCAACTCCCACTTAATGTGAGAATTGCTATTCCCAATGGATTATTAAGGATTTGATCTTAAGTGAGAATAAAAGTAATAAAATAAATTCGGATATACCATTCTTAAAAATATTCCAATTTAATTCTCTAATCGCACCCAAACATGAGAATATGAATAAGCATTCCATTTTTACATTAATTCCATTTCATTCACATCTTCATTCTATTCTCATTTAACTCCATTCTCGTGTACTAAACGAGGTGTTAGAGTAACTTATGGGTTGTATTATGTAGCAGGCCATATTCCTAAAGAAAGCAACAAGACAATGGTCCCCGTACCGCTATATATTTTGCCTAATTTCTACTTTTGTTTGCGTGGGAATAGACCTTGATATACAATGAGCAAGCTAAAGTAACTCTACATATGTCTACACGGACGATGCATGCTACTGAACAAAGTATAATGCTTGTATAGTTATATCGAGTCCCCGTATTTTTCTGAATTATTTATATCTAACTAATAAGACGTTACAGAGCAAAATGCAATTTGTGGATATTCTCTAAGGCTGCGTTTGGGAACTTTGATTTGGATTTGGGAAGTTGATTTAAAATCAAGGGATTTTAAATTTAGGATTTGAAATCCATGATTTAAAAAATCTTTTGTTTGGATATCTTTATTAAATGAAAGGATTTGAAATCTTTGATTTCTAAATCTAATGTTTGGGTACTTTATTATACATGAATTTGAATTTAAAATTAAAGAAAATTTATTCTCTTAACCCATCTTGTTTACATCAAACGTAATGAAGATGTGTAAAATAGTAACAAAATAAAAACAAATTTAGGTAATTTTGGCGATAATAGCTACATTTGCTAAGTTTTCAAATTAATTGCCCACCATAACTTGCAAGAATTTCAACAAAATAAAAATAAAAAAAAACTCTACAAACATATCAAGTATCTTACAAAAAAACATCTAAATAATACATTACCATTGCATATTTCATAGATATCCAGACTGGAAAACACTTGAGGCTTGTTTCATATTTCATACATATTCAAAGTGAGAATAAGTTAATATCAGAGCAAATAAGTAACAATTCCATTATCTTCTCAAATGCAGGTACAACTGACAATTACATAGTCAATTTGGTCTTTGATATACCAAAAGAAATGTTAATAAGAAAAAATACAAAGAGTTGCAAACTGAATAGCATGTGAGAAGAGAAGTATCCTTGATGTAAAGAAATTACAACTGAGGATTCAGAAGTGCTCGTATGATAAACCCTATCTGCAGGAACAAAAGAGGAATTCATTAGCCATCACGATATGGAGCCCAAAACCTGCAAAGAAAATAAGCAGATCAATAATTTTTTTTCAATCAAGCTAACAAGCTAACAAATTAAACAAAAATGTCGGATAAGTGAGACTGAGTAAGATAAGCATAAAAGCATATGGAGACTTGTGAGAGTATTGGTTAGGAAAATCAATACACTAGATGATACACAACCTAATAACAAACATGAGAACTACATTTGCGCACACTTTACAACTCAGCCTAACATCATACATGAGACTTAGTCACTCAAATTTGTCTAACATCATACATGAACCAAAGGAAGAGCACAAATAATTACTTCCAGTCCAGAATTAGCACCTAGAGAAAAAACACAGGTAATATAAAAAAGAAAAAGATTAAGAAAACAAAAAAGGAAGCATGTACTTCGGATCTCAGAACTCAACACATTCAGAAATACGTTCAGATACTTGAATTAAACAGTCAAAACTATTCAGATCCTTGATTTTTACAAGGAACGGTTGAAACAAAGACCATAGTCTATGAAATACAGAACATGTAAAATAAAAAAAATCAGACAAGAAATGACCCAAAGTGAAGAACAAAAATGAGAATGCATGTTCTTTCCAACAAATTGAAAGAAAAAAGAATACAGAGCTGAAAGAAAAAAAGAATACAGAGAAAAATGAGAATGCATGTTCTTTCCAACAAATTGAAAGAAAAAAGAATACAGAGCTGAAAGAAAAAAAAGAATACAGACCTAAAAGAACAACCTACTCTACATTAGCCCGTAAGCTACATTAGTTATACAGCATTTTACCAGGTCCGAGTATAACACACAATGAATATGAGACTCCTGGATGCAAAATGGCACCCAAGCACTATATCAACCACCCACTAACCTCTCGAGATCAAAACCTAGTTACCTTACTAGCAAAGAAAATGAGCACATCAATAATTTTTAAGGCTACATGAAGCCTATTCATCAATGTGGGGGTGGTTATGAGTCAAGGGGAGAAGAAAATTTAGATGCAGTGACAGCTATATCTGAACAAATGACAAGTATACCTAATACATACCACAACCACAAAAAGCACTAGTGTTCCTGAATGACAAGTATACCTAAATTGTCCAGCTAGTTAAAGAAGCATTCAGATACTGCAGTAAAATAACTCTACAATTAGGTAATAGCTAAATCACAGCATTTTTATGTGTAGAGCTTTATAAAGAAAGCAAGCATAATAATGGAAATTTTCAACTTCATTGGACAGGATTCATATACCAGTTTCAAAATTATTTTATTGATTGTATGAAAATGTATTCACGCAAGAATGAACACCCATCACCCACCCACACACACTCATCACCCACACATGCGCATCGCCATATTTTTATTTGTTTGCATAAACTTAAAACAGAAGATGGTTTAGATCAAAACAACTGGATCTTAATGATCAAACTGACAAGAAGTTTAAATTGCATATAGACAAATGAAAGTAGTTACCCCACTAAACAGCTGATGAAAGAAGTATCTGAGACATATGCAGTGTCTATAAATCGAACTGCTTGGATGAGCATATTCTTCAAAATCCTCCCCACATGGGCAGCAGCAAAATGCACCCATACTCCAAGTTCACTAGCAGATCTGAACATTAGATAAAGGTCAAGAAACGGAAACATCTAAAGGCAACAGAAGAAAGAAGTGAACTTTGAAGAGCATCAATATGGGTTCTAACTGAACAGAGACATTTACAATACCAAAAGATTGTGCAGGCTCATTACAGTTTTGTATCCTCCAAAATAGTGGTAGATGCAGGATCAAAATCACGAAGCTTGTTTTTATGAATAATAAAGTGCACTTCAGATCCTACATGCTAAGTGATGTGGATACAAACATCTGCCTTAGTCAAACATCAGTAAGGCTTTAAGCTGTAACCAAGTTCTTGTATAAAGAAGTTTATAGATCCACATTTCATAGGTGTATCCATGGCAAGACAGGCACATATTTCTAGTAAACCCAGGAAAACTTGTAGGTTTTCATCTGTAATACTCTATAAAGGACATAGACTCACTCTTCTCAACTAGATGGTATAGCCACAGAAGACATGCACAGATTTCTAGTAAAACCAAGAAAAATTGTAGGTTATCGTCTGTAATACCCTATAAAGAACATAGACTGCTCTTTTCAACTTGACGGAAGCTAATTAGTTACTTAAAAGGAGATAATAATTTAGAGAAAAAGGTCACAAATTTTCTCATTTTCTCAAGATATAAAACATCACAAGAAGACAGTTCCTAAAACATCACAAGATTTATGCGATCGTGACGATAACGGCATGTTCCCAATGATAAATGGTAATCATCAAGACTCTATCTCTGCATAAGCACCACAAACCAAAAACAATATTCCCGTCCAATTCATATTGTGATCAGAACATGGAGAACAGGGTTTCCTACATTTTGACAAAATCTTCAACAACCTATTGCATTATCTCTGAATACTCTGAACAATCTAAAAGTTTTGGTATCTTAAAAATCTTCTTTTATCAGACCATGAATCAGTAACTATATGCTATTGTTACGAAAATGATGAACTCTAGAGTTCCAATGTTTTAAAAAAAATTTGCTCCCATTTCATTGAAAACCTGAATTCTAAGTACTCAAAAACTTTCAAAAGATAAGTGGATGGGGAGACCCTATCATCCAATCATGATAAGTAGGTGGGGAAACCATTGGTTGGGTTCTTTAACAAATTATACTCCAAAGTAGTTCAAAAGGAAGATTAGTTCTTCATTATTACCCATATATTTCTTTAGAAAGTCTACAACAGATAGAAATAATCATTATCACACATAAGCACCTCGCAACACCCAAATTCCTTCTCCGATTTCACAAGACCAAGTCAAATAAAAATTAATAGTTGAAGAAGTAGTTCCTAAAGCAGGATCAACTCATCCTCAACATTTTATCTATATATATTGATCTAAATATATATCCTACAAACCAACAGAAACAATCCTAATAGCACACAAGAAGCCCAGCTCCGACTCCAATTGCAGGCTGATCAAGCTCCCATCAATTTACAACCAGCGTCATCAAAAATCCAAACCTTTTGACACAGACAGCTAAATACTTCAACCAACACCGAGGATGACATAAAAGAATCGAAAATTCACACTTTCAAGTGGCAAAAAAAATGAGAAAGAGAGGATCGGGTTGGGATTTGATAAATGACAGGAGGTGGGGTGGAATTTGAAATCACTTGTTTTGGGCTTCTAAATTCCTTTTTGTTAAATCAATTGATTCAAAATCTTAGCTCAAATCAAAATCCAAACTAAAGATTTGGATTTGAAATACCCTGGATTTTAAATCAAAGCCCAAATCCAAGTTCCCAAACGCAGCCTAAAGGAAAAATTGGAAAGCTGAATTCTAGATCTGTTTCCTAGAAAAGAGGATCAGTTGGACTGATCAAAACATTAATTGTTCCAGGTTTTGAGAGCTGTGAAAGTTATACTTATTAGTTTATCCGGAATAAAGAGGAGAAATTAAATTAGATTCGAGGGGCCCGGGAAAAGCACCGAAAAATTGGCAACTCTGCTTCTTTTTCATGAAAAGGGAATCTGTCAGCATTGGGCCTGGGCCTGGGCCTCAGAGGAAAAGCAGCTATTACGCTTTTTTTTTTTTTTTATAAATTAAAGACGCATGCTTTACCTTATTGGATTGCCTAATCGAATGCTTCCACGGTACTTTGGCCGTTTTTCGCAGTTAATTAATGACTTGTACTTGGGCAAAACGGAACAGCGGCGATGGGTACTCAATTTGGGAAGAGGAAGATGATCGTCATCAGGTTGTTACTAAAATTATATATGAAAAGCCGACAAAAAATTTAAAATTAAAGAGGGAGGTGGGCGTATCTATAAATCAACCGGGGCATATGCCGCGATGTTATTCCATCATCTTGCATGAGAATAAAGAATATACCTTGGCCAAAATCCTCTCCGGGCTCTCCCGTACGTAGCTCGTCCTACCTGATTAGATTCCAAAATTCCCACGCTTCCCTCTTTATAAAAAGTTCATCCCTCCCTCGTTAAGTCATCTGTTACTGATCGAGCGTGGCCTTCCCCTCTCCCCCGTAGTTCTTCTCTTCTTCTTCTTCTTCTTCCTCGTCGGTCTTCTACCGACCAGCCAGAGAGAGAGAGATACAATGGGAATGAGGACGGAAGATCAGGTCGTCAAAGATCAAGAGGAGGAAGAGGCGGCGCCTCCCCTCCTGTTGGACGCAGAGTCCGTGACAAAGCCTCGCAGGATTGCTCTGTTTGTCGAGCCCTCCCCCTTCGCGTGAGCGCCTGCTGGCCCCCGTCTCGTCTTTTCATCTCTACCTCCTACCCTGTTAATTCTTGTCATCAAAACAAGCTATATATAAACATCATTAATTTACTCTCCTCTTCTCTTATATATCTGCAGCTACGTCTCTGGCTACAAAAACCGGTTTCAGAATTTCATCAAGAACCTACGTGAAATGGGAGATGAGGTACGTAGTTGCACTAATTAATTATCCTTCTTCTTTTTTTTTTATATAAATAATTAGCGTGACGCTTTGATTTGCTTCAGAAATGATTGCTGCCCGTAACATTTTTTCCCCCCCGCCTAATCGGCTACTGTATATATTACAGGTCATAGTTGTGACGAACCATGAAGGAGTGCCTGAGGAGTTCTATGGCGCTAAGGTAATTGGTTCCTGGAGGTAAGCCAGCCTAGCTCCGTGGTTTAACATCCTCGTTAATTTTTTTTCGCTTCATCTTGTCTATGGAATTGCGTGTTTCTCTTATTTTTAAATTTTAGTTTCGGGTATTATGTATATTTTCCTCAAAACAATTTGATGTCTCACGTCTCCTAGAATAATGAAAAGGAAAAAGGATGTTCCACACCTGACAATTAATTAAATCTAATGGAGTAATTTTTAGATATATCGAGCTTTTTATGTAATCTTATCCAGAATTTACTCATCCGTAGTGTAGAAACGGCGAAAATATTGCTAAAGTTCAGGAAATTTGAAGCATACAGCCATTTGGGTGCTTGACGGTCGACCGCGAGCTTTGGCGCGGTCGACCGCAAACATGCACGATACATGGATATGTTCTGGAGCTCTGACCGGTCGACCGCCGCAGTCGACCGCCAAAACCCTGTAATCGATTTTGGTTCCTGTCTTTCTGTTCGGTCGACCGTGACGGTTTCGGCAGTCGACCACTGGTCGGGTTTGGGCCTGATTGCAGTTTCATGTTCTGATTGGGATTTGTGTTTGGTATAGATACAAACACGATTTTAGGGTTTTTGGGAGTTGAAAAGTGGTTTGTTTTGTGTACAGAAAAGAGAGTTTCCTAAGCAATTTGGTTAGGTTTTGTTTGAGAGATTTGAGAGGTTTGTTTGAGAGATTTTGAGTGAATTTGTAATCTCTATTTGTACGCTTCTTCTCTATTAGTGAAAATCCATCTCCTTCTTGCCCCGGGGACGTAGGCAACTTGCCGAACCACGTTAAATTGGTTTGTTTGTGTTCGTGCCGTTATTTTGATTGTGTTTGGCCTTCTCTCTCACCATTTGTGTTTGCCCTCGGAATCCCAACACGTAGATAATCGTCTCTTCTATATAACCACTGAGTGATAAGCTCCACCCGAATATGTGCCAGAAAACGTTGAGAACTCCAGACTGTTAGAGTATGAAACTATAATTTTAGACTTCAAAATAGTATTTAACAACACGGATTCAAATTTTCTTACGCAGGTGCATGTAGAAGTGGATTTTTTTTTCCTTCCCGTTTAGGGAAACTGAGGCAAGACTGCCAGGAGCGTCATTAATTAGTTAGATGAATTACAATAATATACAGAGCTTAAAAGAGGATTTAAAAGAATATTTCTATAGAAAGAAAGGTTTCGACCCATAAAAAGGACACTCTGGCACTGCAGGGAATATTTTGGAGTATAAAATTATAATCCTCAAATATGGACTGAATACATTTTACTGATGTTATTTTTTAATGTTTTTTTATTTCCAGCTTTCCCTGTCCATGGTATCAAAAGGTGCCACTTTCACTAGCTCTTAGCCCGCGAATAATTGCAGAGGTGGCAAAATTTAAACCGGATATAATCCATGCTTCTTCACCAGGAATCATGGTAATTCTCTTCCTAAAGATCTAGCAATAAGTCTGACTCAGGTTTTTTCCCCCCTGCATGATTGACTCTTAACTTTTTGTAAAATGTTTCAGGTGTTTGGTGCTCTTGCTATTGCCAAAATGCTTAGCGTCCCAATAGTAATGTCATATCATACCCATGTTCCAATGTGAGTCAATATGCAGCTTGTTTGTTTTATAAATTTCTTTTTTATTTTATAAATTTCATCCTTGACAAACCACTCATTGTAACCGCGATGCTAGACTTGTAATTAAACACATGTTCTAACTACAATGCTAGACTTGTAATTAAACACAGGTTCTACCTTGCTTTCTATCTGTGAAGTTTATGTTCCTCTTATTCTAGTTTTTCTCACCTGGTAGGCAGAAAAAACTCCATATGCCCTCTCTCACTTATAAACTATGTTGAATAGCCATAACTTGGATCGAGTCATTGATACTCAAGTTAGTGTGGATATTAAATCCCCCCCCCCCCCCCCCCCAACCCTTCACGCAGGCATAGGTGAACATGTGCACACAAAACTTTTGATGGACGTATGTGAATTCCAAATCTTGTTGGCTTATCCTGACCTGATTCTATTACGGGCATAGAATTAGCTGCGAAACTGATTTCACTGCTGTCGCAACAGATACATTCCCAGATACACCTTCAGTTGGCTGGTGAAACCCATGTGGATGGTCATAAGTAAGAAATCTTCGTATTATTAATCTTTCTTCAACTTATATGGATATGCTACTGACATCTTTGTGGGCTTTTTAAGAATTCCTGCACGGAGCTGCTGATCTTACACTGGTGCCTTCAGCTGCTATCAGCAGGGATCTTCAAGCCGCTGATGTGACAACGGGTAAGATTGGTCATTATCTGTTTTTTGCGGCTTTCATGTTTCACTTGTATATTTTGCTTATTGTTCGCTTTTGTTTCTTCAGCAAATAGGATTCGGCTTTGGAACAAGGGTGTTGATTCTGAGAGCTTCCACCCCCGATTTTGCAACTACGAAATGCGATTGAGGCTAAGGTACCCTACTCCTGACATACACACGGACACACACACACACACCTTCACACCCACACAAACAAAAAACACATACATTTATATGGCTTAGATTTTGGCTAAAATTGTTGTTCCTGTATGTTCAGTAATGGAGAACCAGAAAAACCACTGATAATTCATGTGGGCCGTTTGGGAGTAGAAAAGAGCTTGGATTTCCTAAAACAGTGAGTTACTAGTGCTGAAACTCTGCATACTGGCATATTATCATGTTTTTGTTAGACAAGAATTTGTCCTCTTTGTTTCATGCATCTGTCTATTTCATGTATCTCTCTTGTTTCTGGTTCATGTGATTCTCTATTGCATGTGTTTGCTTTCCTCACCTGCACTTTTTTAACAACTGCTTGTACCTTTGTGCAGGGTTATGGATAGGCTGCCAGGAGTAAGGATTGCATTCATAGGCGATGGACCATATAGGTAATTTATATGGACATGTTTTGGTATTTACTGATTACGTTTTTTATGTATAGGCATTCAAGTGATAATAAGGAAAAATAGACGTGGCAGTGAAAAAAAAAATTCAATAGCCATATACAGGATGCCATTACCTACATAAATGACAAGGATAATTTTGATTTTATGGAAAGTAACACACTAAAGAGCTTCTATCTATCTTGTTGTAGGATAAAGGAGATTCCATATTTATGATACCTCCCTCAACATTTTGTATTCAGCTCCAAATTAATGAACATATCGCACCAATAATATACACACCCTCATCATTCCGCATCTTCCCTGTTTTCATTCATTGATCTTTACAGGCTGCATATCTTGTCCAATATTACCTCAGAAGTGCTAACATGATCATTTGACTGACATTCGTTTCTTCTGTTCTGGTAGGAGCGACCTCGAGAAAATGTTTTCAGGCATGCCTGCAGTATTCACAGGGATGCTGCAAGGGGAGGAACTTTCTCAAGCCTATGCGAGTGGTGACATATTTGTGATGCCCTCAGAATCAGAGACCCTCGGTCAAGTCGTTCTGGAGTCCATGTCATCTGGAGTTCCCGTTGTGGCTGTGCTCGTGCAGGGGGGGTTCTTGACATCATTCCAGCAGAGCAGGAGGGCAAAACCAGCTTCATGTTCACTCCCGGAGATCTCAATGACTGCTTGAGCAAAATTCAGCATCTATTGACGAACCAGGAATTCAGGGAAGCCATGGGAAAGGCTGCAAGAGAGGAGATGGAGAAATACGACTGGAGAGCAGCCACCAGGATTATACGCAACGAGCAGTACAATGCAGCTATTTGGTACTGGCGGAAGAAGAGAGCGCAGATGCTTAGTCCTTGCCAGTGGTTAGCTGAAAGGATGTTTGGTTCGCAGCATGCAATAACCTACGGTTGATACGCTAGGAATATGTATATTACGGGTGAATCAGTATATGCAGCTTGTGAGTAGACTGGGTTGATTTTGACGCAATTGTTTGATTTGTACTAAAATGTAAATTAGTATTAATGGTAATAATATTGGAAACCGCTTCTGCAGTTAAAAGTTTGTTTCCATTTTCCGGACCATTTCAGTCTTCAATTGTGATGTGCTTCTCCATAAAGTTTGGATTTGTTCTTGAAACATTTTTCCCAACTTTCTTCCAACTCTGTCACCTAAGCTCATGCCTCAGCGGGTCTCATTTTCCAACATCCTGTTGCACCGTCGAAGCACATCTCCTTGTCACTAAACCATGCATTATGGGATTGAAATCTTGATTGAAACTTGTTTTAATTGAATTCGCCCTGTGCATTCACCCTTAATTATCACCCAAAAAAAAGAATAAAAAAAAACTATCGATGCAACATATGTACAAGGTGTAACATCATAATCTGAGTCAAACCTCATGATTTTTAGGAATGAAACATAGCGCAGCACCTTGGAATCTGCTCAACAAAGCAAGAAACCTCCGAATCCGCTGAGCGTTCTCTCAATCCACAAAGAACAGGATTCGAATTCACAAAGAGACAACCTCGAATCCAAGAAGTAATATAAAAGAGAGTTTTATTGAAGAGAAGTTATACCTATAGGGCTTGCAATCCTATGCTTAAATAGAAAACAAACTAGACTGCGGACCCAAGTTTTATTGAAAAATAGAATAACAAAACTATACGTACTTAAAAGACTCCCTATAATTAAGTAAACAAATCGGTCAAATTTAGAATCAAATTGGATTTATTTCCTAATCAAAACAGTATCCTAAAACATTACCTAAAATAGTTAAAAAACCGATTAAAACGCTGATATCCACTATTCAAATCTCCAATTCTCAGATATCTCACATATGACGGCTTTATCCACTATTCAGAATTTACAAAATATAATTATATGAAGTTCAAAAAAGAGATATTACTATAATAAATTACAACACTCATGAAGACACTTAAGTTGCTAATCTATTATTTTCACAAGTCATGAAACAGTGGGTCTGGTGTATGATAGGTTACGTTTCGCACAATATCTCTTGCTTGCTGGTTGAAGATGATATGGACAAAGCAATACATATATTAGCTAAAGAATACTTCTACACGTATATTATGTTTATATGAAGTTCAAAAAAGAGGTATTACTATAATAAATTACAACACTCATGAAGACACATAAGTTGCTTATCTATTAATTTCACAAGTCATGAAACAGTGGGTCTGGTGTATGATAGGTTACCTTTTGCACAATATCTCTTGCTTACTGGTTGAAGATGATATGGACAAAGCAATACATATATTAGCTAAAGAATACTTCTACACGTATATTATGTTTTAAAATTAGTCTCAAAGTACTGAAATTACTATTGTGTCCCTATATTTTTATACAAGAATGAGTCCATAACTTTTAAACTTAGTCCCTTATATCATTGAAATTGCTAATAATCCCTCCAATCAAGAGTAGCTGTGACAAAGTATAGGAACAGGAAAGCTAGCATTTCAATGATTTGGTGGGTCAAATTTAAAATATTAAAAAGTGTAATGGACTACTATCATCAAATAGATCATCCATTTCCCGTGACCCGGCATAGGAGTGGATCCTTTCCAAGTCCCCCATCTCTGGATCGCTAAGGACAACCGGACCTAGCGCGTCTCTGTAGGCTGTCTAAAAATTATTGTATATAGCTGATCCTCATCAAACACCAATGATAAAAGTTACGATTTGACGGCTTCCAGAAGGCTACAATTTAAAAACTTTCACGTAGATCGATAAAGGTTATAATCTGATGATCTTCACAATAACCGATGAAAGCTCTAATTCAACAGCCTTCACAATCAACATCGGGAGTTACAATCTGACGACTCTCATATTTTCAAGGAGTCAAGACGAAGGTTACAAGATGACGATCTTTACAATACTCTACCAAAAGAGACTACAAATTAACGGTCTATTCAAATCAAAACGCAGAGGTCGTGCCCGCGTTTCAGATTCAAAACGCAGAGGTCATGCCCGCGTTTCAGATTCAAAACGCAGAGCTCATGCCCGCGTTTCAAATTCAAAACACAGAGGTCGTGGCTACGTTTCAGATTCAAAACGCAGAGGTCATGCTCGCGTTTCAGATTCAAAACGCAGAGGTCGTGCCTGCGTTTCAGATTCAAAACGTAGAGGTCAAGCTCGCGTTTTAGATTCAAAATGCAGAGGTCGTGGCTGCGTTTTAGATTCAAAACGCAGGGCTCACCACTGCATTCTAAGCTCAGAACGCAGGGCTCACCACTGCGTTTATAGCCGCTAGTACGGAGCTTAACTCTACGTGCTCAACTCTACGTTCCAATCCCAGAATGCAGAGTTCACGCCAGAATGCGGATTTTGCGTTTGACTCATTCAAACAAGAGTTGAACGGTTTTAAAACTATTTTTCACGATTTGAGTGGATCACTCCCACACTTAGAAGCGAATTAAGGGGGCGGTTACACCCCTTAATCCCCTATAAATACCAGAAACTCAATTGAGTTCGGGATCTCTTTTGGATATCTTCAGATTTGGAGGCTCTTGGAGATCATCTTCATCGGCAACAGAGAGCTTGGAGCTTCGGAGCTTTGATATTGTCTTGTAAACCGATTTTGGTTGGATTAATTAACTCTTTCAAAGAGTTTTAAACTTGTTCTGAGTCCTTTAACTCGTCAAGAGTCCTTACACTTGCCTCGTAAGTTCTTCTCCTCAACGTCCAACAAAGAGGAATCAACCTTGTTCCACGAAGCAACATGTTCAGATCGTCAACGGGATACAAGGATCTGAACTCTTATTGACATCAAGAAGAACCCAGGTTAAACTAATGGAAGGGTCTCCGTCGATCAAATTTGGGATCAAACCGAATTTGCTTCCTAATCAAAACAGACTCCTAAAACATTACCAAAAATAGAAAAAACTGACAAAAACGCTGATATCTCTCAATTTGGAGGGAATTTGGTGAAACGGACGGCGACAAACTAAACTTTAGTTGATTTGGTTAGCCCCGTCCTAAAAAAAATACGCAATTTTCATATATAATTCGTCCAATTCCGACTTACGGTTTGAAAGATACGACATGTTCTTCGCGGCAAGTTATTTTTCTCGACCAGGTCCACGTTTGGCCTTGTGTTTGTCCCGCTTCCACATAAATATGTTTGTCGTGTGTTTTACATCAGCATTGGGCTTGGGTGGCTATTGAATTAAGTTATTCGCTAATAACTTAGCAGGATGCTCACCTCATGTTGTTATGTCATGATATATTGTAGCTTTCCTTGCGGCTTTCTAACTATTTTTCTCTGTCTTCTCTCACTGCAATTTTTCTTTTTTCATTCTTTTCATGCATATATTCTGAATTTATTTTCCTAAGTTAATGAATTTCTTAGACATCCTGTTTTGATTATTGCTAAATAAATATATAACAGAGCTCCACATAATTACATTCTTTTGCTTTTTCTATGAGATAATCACACGGCAAAACAGATGCATATAAGAGTGCATGTGGACTAATATATAGATCCGTATTGTTCAGAGAAGTGTTACAGAGTTTTAGTCCTAATCTGAAAAAAGATTAGATCGATAGCATTTGACGAGTAAGAACATAACTCGAGCTGCTGGCAGGGGAGATATTAGATTTAGATAAACAAGCACATGCGTTTGCTTGGTTACTCAGGTGTATTCGCTCAATTGATTTGTTGAGGCATAAGATAATAATAGGCAAAATGGCCAAATCGGTATATTTTCTAGAGGCTTGGGGACATATTGGTATATAATCTTTTTATTTTATCAGATTGGTATAAAATTTCAACTCTGGCGCCATATAGGCCTTAAGTTTGGCCGGAGTCAATTTTCCGGCCATTATTCTCACGCGATAGCTCACGTGACTCCGACGTGGCCTTGACGTGGACTCCAGCGTGGCGGGTTGTTGGGATGAATAAATTTCGACAAAATGGGGGTTTATATCTCCGATTAGGGCTTCTATCTTCTTCTTCCTCCTTCTTACTCCATCTTCTTCTACCTCCTAGGGTTAGGGTTAGGTTCAGTGGGAGTTAAATTAGTGATGGATTCTTTATCTTCAAGTTGTCGCTCAAGATCAGTGTCAAGCACGAGCATGGGAAGAAGCAGGCAAGGGTTCAATGGAATAAAAGCTATACGACAGTAGAATGATCTAGCAAAGCAATCTGGGGTGAAGGTTTGTAATTGTTGTTTGGATTGCGAGTATTTTACTTCTATGACTGATGAAAATCCAGGACGGAAGTTCTACAAATGCCGCAATCAGCATGTAAGTTAAATTTACTTTCTCATTTGTTGCAGTAATCAACTGCAGTTTTTACTTGGAAGTTGTAATTTTTTGCGCATCTCACTTGATCATGGTCTCCTTTGATTTTTGAGTAACGATAGGCTGGTGGTTGTGGTATTTGGGAATGGATTGACAAACCAATGTGTAGTGTTGGCTGTCAATTGTTTCCGCTTCTAAAAGAGGAGATCAATGATTTGAGGAATACGTTGCTGTTGAAGGAGGAGTTACTTCAAAGGTGTGAAAATCAGCTAAGAGGATGCAATGAGGACATTTACAAGCTTAAAGAGGATGTCGAATTGTCTCAACATGAGGCTGCTTCTTGTTTGGAAGAAGTGCAGAAAATGATGAAAAAAAGATTAGAATTGCGCGAAAAGATTGCAAAAGAAAAAAGGATTATTAAGTTATATTGTTATTAGGAATGTTTACACTCTGTTTAATTCTGTATGTTGTAATGTGAAGATGGTTGTAATGTGAAAGTGGTTGTGATGTGAATAAAGCACTGTATTTTGACAGATTGGTATATTGAACTCCTAATGTGTGTTGTTGATTGTGCACGAATAAATAAACTGGTGCAATGACTTGTATAACCAAATGTACATGACCTGGTTCAATGACATGAATTCAATTGTACATGTTTGACCCATATTGCACATGACCTGGTTCAATGATGTCAACAAAGGGATTGGCATGAAGTAGACATATAAAATTTAAACATGCCAAACAAATGAACATCTAGAATACCAAATGTATCAGGTAGAACATTGCTTGGAAACTACTGT